CGGATCCGCGTCTACGGGGTCCGTGGGACCCCGTCTACGCGACGTCGTGTCCGCGTCTCTCAGACGCGCGAGCACTCCCGACTGCTCAAGTGGGTCACGTGACACAGGCGCACGCGCCTGACATATAAAGAAAGAAGCGAGCGAAGCGGCGGATATTAGCGGTATGGCGACGGCGCGGCTCAAGAAGATCTCGGTGGAGGGCAACATCGCCGCAAGCAAGTCGACGCTGCTGCGGATCCTGAGCGAGGGCCACGAGGTGGAGCTGCGGGTTGTTCCGGAGCCCGTGTCACAGTGGCGCGAAGTGGGCCGCGCGGGCGGCAACCTGCTGCGATCGCTGTACGAAGAACGCGGGGGTGTTTGCGAGCGTGCTGCGCGAACGCGGCGCCGTGAGCGACACCGAGTGGCACGCGTACCGCGATTGGCACACGTAGTTGCTGGAGCGCTTCGAGCGCGAGCTGAGCCTCGACGGCGTGGTGTACCTGCGCGTGAGCCCTGAGCGCTGTGCCGAGAGGCTCGCGCGTCGCGGCAGCGAGGAGGAGCGTGGGGACTTCACGAGAAACACGAGGCGTGGCTGTGGCGGCGCGACGAGGACTTGGTCTCGACGCGGTTGCCCGTGCTGGTGCTCGACGGCGACGAGGACTTTGAGCGCGACGCGGAGAAGCGCCCGCGAGTTCCTCGCGTCGCTGTGACGACGCTAGAATTATTAACGGGGCGCGCCGGGGGGGCAGGAGAGTCATGTGCACGATGAGTCGATGCAAGCCGCTCACGGTCCTCGTGTCGACGGCGGCGGCGCCGCGTACGGACGAGATGGTAGCCGCGAAGGTTCCCGAGGCTCGGCTACCGCCGCGTACGCGCAGGAGAGCGCGGCGGTTGCTGCGCAGCCACTGCCGCGTCTGCGGACGGATAATGGTGAATACGGGCGTGCGCCAGGAAGACCCCGCGGTGCGCGAAGATGACGTGTGCTGGATGTGTGGCGAGGACGACGCGCTGCCGCCGGTGGACTACGAGAGTCGCGAACGCGCGGACCGACTGGAGGCTTTCGCGGAGACGCTG